TTCATTTAGAAATACGTTTCGGGGAGGGGTTTTATCGTCGCCACTAGATCGAACTAGCGAAATATGCTAGCACTCGGAAGATTAGTTAAGGGAGCATATAAAGTAGAGAGTATCCCTATGGCTAACTGGCACAGCAGAAGTGTGACATTATATCCGTGCAGAGTGCCGTTGCGCACGATGTAGAGAGGTGGAATCAGCCCTTTGGTGAAAAAGGTAACTCGTCTCCCGGGTGACAAGTGCATAGGTCTCTAGCGCTAGGGAGGCGGCATCAACGTGAAGGACTCTTCACAGCGCAGAGACTTCGTAAAGAAGGAGCAAGGAGAAGGGGGCCTCCCCCTCTATATGACCCCGAGTAGCAGCCGGCAGCAACTGCGTAGGAACGCCCTACCAATTGCGTACCCGCTGCTACCCCCGCCATGGTGCGAATCCCGCCCCTGGTAGTGTGCGGGCCCTCTGGCGTGGGGAAGGGGACCCTGATCAAGAAAGTGCTGAGCGAATTCCCTAGCCGCTTCCGCTTCTCCATTAGCTGCACGACTCGGAACAAAAGGGAAAAGGAAACCAACGGGGTGGATTACTACTTTGTCGATAAGGATGACTTCAACAAAAAGTTAAAGGAAGGACAGTTCCTTGAATTTGATAATTATGCGAATAACTTTTATGGGACCTTAAAAAGCGAATACGACATTGCCGTGGGGCAAGACAAAATCTGTCTCTTCGAAATGAACATTAACGGAGTTAAACAATTAAAAGAATCCCACTACATAGAGGACGGCATTTATATTTTTGTGAAACCACCGAGTATTGAAATTCTTCTGAACAGACTAAAGAATAGGAACACGGAGAAGCCTGAGGAGATTAACAAGCGCATGCAGGAATTGACGCGCGAGATGCACGAGGCCGACAGGGTGGGCTTTAACTATGTCATCGTTAACGATGATTTGACGCGCACGTATGCGGAGCTGAGGGAGTACTTGCTGGTCTCTTACCCGCAGTTAAGGGGGGGCTAGCCTGTGTGGGATTCGCGGCGGTGTGACCGTTTGGCCGCTTCACCGCTTCACTGCTTGACCGCTTCGCGACGGTGTAGCATGGCATTATGTGGGCCTCACCCGGGGAAGGCTCTCCTGTACAGATGATTTTCACCAATTGGCGGAGACAAGAGGGTAAAATTACTCCCCAGAGGATTGCAGCGGGTAGTGGTGTTACGGTCGATGAGCACAGCTCCACCCGCATGGTGTGCTTCCATCTCGGTTTAATCATTTTGAAGCATTTTTGCTAAGGAAGGAACACCGCAGGGAATGAAGTCACAGGTTTGGGGGGGGGGATATTTTTCGAAGCCTTCTTCTTTTTCCTGACCCCTATTTTTGGCCATATCTGTCGTACCGAAGTTTTTCACTATTTTTTATAAATCATATCATTTTGCTCTGATGTCACTTTTTTTTTTCTTTTTTTAAATTTTAAACCGTTACACTTATTCAAGTTTGTATGTATATATGCCGTTCCGGGGGGTACGAGGCGGGGTTTCGTTTTGTTTGCCGCGAAATCCCGTGCGACTGCTGCGGAGTTGCTACTCGTTAAGGCATTTTTGCCGCGGCCGTTTTGTAAATCCCCTTCTTACGATGACCATTTGGTTAACCCACTTTTTGCCAAGTGAACTTTGTGAGCGCCCCCGGCGAACTCTCACCCTTTGAAAAGTGGACTAGCCATCTGGAAAGGCACACTATGCAGGGCAACATATTTTGAAGGTCAACAAAACTGCCATGATGTGACTGCACGGCGGAGCCTGCCCGAGGGGAAAGGCCAAACAGGAGAGAATACATACAATGTGACTTTCTTAGGGGAAGGGAAATTGTCCCCTTTTCTTTTCGTTTTTTTTTTTTTTCTTTTCCACTTGATTACCACACGTACGATAATGCTCGAAAAATGGAACCTAAGAGGGAGAGAGGCCCCATAAAAATCTCACTCAACCTGAGCGCGAACAAGAGGGATGAAAAAAGTGTAAGCGAATGCAACACTGGGGGGGATGGCAATTCCCGGATCAAGACCAAGTCGAAGGAAGTTTCACAGGCTTTGTAAGTACACCAATCTGGGAGGGGGAAAAGCAACAACGGAGAGAAGAAATGACGCAAACACGCGCGTGGGAAAAGTGCTTCCCCTAATGTTGCAACGTCGTAGACATGAACCAGCCCCCCACTGCTGCGTGCGTGCGGAAATATGGCTTATTTATAGCTCCCATGGTTTTGTACGTGCCCGCGAAATGGGCCCTACATGCTGTCCGGGGGAAGCCTACCCATTTGGCGTGGCATGGCGTGCCTCTCGCGGCTAAGAGGATATCCATGTCGCTGCCACGGTTGGAGGGCAAAATGAGGAAACAAGCCGTAGTTAGCTCTATAATAGTGTGGACCTACTCATGTGACTTTCTCGCTTTCTCTCCTTCTCTCTTTCATTCCTTTTCCCACATTTTCACATTTTGCTTTTTTTTTTCCCCCTTTTCCCCTTTAACATTGCACCCCTTCCAAGAGACCTCATCGAGGACATCCGCAGTGGCACGTTCAACTACAAAGACCTGCAGGAAATTTACTTCATGAACGATGTGGAGTTGGAAAAAATGATTAGTGAGACGAAGGGCGCCGAGGAAGGGAACAACGAGAGGGAGGCCCATGTCGCGGGGCACAGTTCCTACGAGAGAGAGGACACTATGTATAGTGGCGGCGGCGCCCATGATGAGAGTCCCCCCCGTTCGAAGGAGTTCACCGAAGGGAAACTCCACAGCGGAGGAGCGGACCCACATAGCCCCATGCACAGCAATGAAAGAAGCCTCACAAATGAAAATGACGAAGACAACGGAGCGAATGGGAGAAATGTATTTGTGTTGAATAACCAAGTGGGGAAAGTGTGCATCATCCGATTCCCTCCTGAGGTGTCCAAAGAAATAAAAAAATATCTTCTAAAAAAAAATCTGCAGTTGGAAATCCAACCAACCAGTTTGTTAAACTCAAGACTCTTCTTAATACATTTTAGGAACATAAATAAAAAATTTTGGGGCATTCTTCTCGAACTGTCAACCCATATAGAGGTACACAAGACGTTGGATCGAAATAACCTGTACAAGACGAATGACGTTTCCCAGATGATTTATGTGTATGACCCAAATGAAGAAAAAAAAAAAAAAAAAAAAAAATGCAAAAAAATGATAAAAAATTTTATAAAAAATAATTTCCAATTAAATTGTGGTATCAGCAATAGAGTACAAAATTTCCATTTTGAAAATTATGCCAAGTTGTTTAAGTACCATGACATTTATTTTGCGGAGAAGTTCCTTCATGATTATTTGAACGCAAAGTATTACGACTACTACGACATGTATGTGAAGACATACACAGAGATGCACACACATCTGCGCCTCGGTCGAGAGAGCCACAAAAAACAAAATGAAATTGTTGATGAGATGACGGACATTTCGGAGATAATAAATTCTTTGGACAATACCTACAGCGTAATGAAGGATCTGGAGAAAGACACCGGGGGTGACATTTCACTTGAGACCCTGCTGAATTATGAAATCGCCAATGAGGACTACGAGTCGGACGTGTCGGACTTGTTGATGGGAGGGACCCACTACCTGAGGAAGAGGACCTAGGGGGAAGCATCGGAGGTAGCATCGGAGGTAGCATCCGCGGTAGAGGTATCCAGTGTGCCTCCTTCCCCCACTCCCACTATGCTTCCACTTGGAGTGCTCTCCCCTGTGTGCCCGAACGGCCATCACACGTAGAGCCTATACATGTTTATAAAATTAATTTGATGTCTTTTTTTTTCTTCTTTTTTTTGTGTTGCTTTTACAATTTGTTACAAACCAAAGCGGACTTATTTACCACGACGCTGTTTTAAGCGAACGAGTGAGGAGGAGCAGGGGAGTACCTGCTCAAGGAAAAACTGCACTTGGTTCAGGGACACGTCATGTGTGTGTTGTGAAAGTACCCCCCCGCCGAAAACGAAACTGTGCTGAGAGCTCCCAGTTTGCTAACCCATTTCGACGTCCAGTTATCGTGAGGGGACCGATACAATCCACCCTCGATTAGGACCCCTACGCAAAGGGGAAGCTCAAAAAAAAAAAAAAAAAAAGGCAACAAAGTAGGACACAGTTAAATGTTCCTATCATGAATTAACGTGCGTGCACATTTGGTTATGCGAGTGGAGGGGAAGCACGAAACACACGCACAAATACACAGTGCGATGGTAGGACAGTGGAAATCACGTTTTCCACGTCGCAAATCGTGTAATGCGCTTCGCCCTGCTGTAACTTCTGCACATATACATATAACGGTAAGTTCCATGGCGAGCGCAAGTGGAGGGAGAAAAGGAGGACGGCAGCGGCCTACATTCGGAACCTACCCCTGGATCATATGAAAACTGGTTCAGGAAGGAAGATCTGTATGGACCATATGCGCTCGAATGTTCACGATCGGGTCGGCGAATCTAACCCCATTTGTTATGCTCTGCTGGTATTTTCACCCTTTTTGTTTTTTTTGCTTTTTGTTTTTTTTTCCCAATTTGGAGGGATACCTGTGCCAGGCGTAGAATAAGTGCTAGCCAAAATGGAAGGTTTTTTTTTTTTTTCCAATGGTCAGCTAAAAAAAAAAAAACAAAGTTGTCAATTTTGTCATTACCATCAAGAAAAAAGTCGCAGAGTGAAAGAGACTCCTCGCCAAAAAAACAAAACAAAACGGAATGACCTGACCACGTTATATCACTCATTAGTGACGTATTCTCAACTTTGCGAATCGTTCGCAGAGCTGTGGAGGGGAATAAATGAACAAAGCACAAGTGGCTCATAATTGTATTCACAAACTGGATTGCCTGAACGAAGATACCAACCCGCTGTCCCCCCTTTCCAAAGCGTCGTATCAGCGAAGCAGTGCCATGGGGAATTTCCTCGGGTTAAAGGAAAACGTAATGAACAGCGTGGTGTTACCCTTACATGTGTGCAACGCTTTATGCTTATTTTTTCCCCTCTTTGGAAACCTTTCGAACATGCGAAAACGTCATGGACTCATTTAAGACCTCCTTTTTTTCCACTAACTTCCCGCGTGCAGAAATACAATAACACCAACATAAACATCTTTGAGAAGAGGTACGGCTATAACCTGAACGATCTGCACAGCTACGTCTACAAAATCAATCTGCCGCTGAAGCCGCGCTACGTAGGCTATGTGCTAGAGGAGAAGGGAAAACGGCCAAATGGGAAATCTCCCCGTGGAGTGGTGCCAAGTGGGGAATCTTCTGGTGGTGTAGCGCCAAGTGGGGAATCTTCCGGTGGGGTAGCGCCAAGTGGGGAACCCCCCGGTAGAGATACCCCCAATGTAACTTCCCCCACACACTGTGAGGCCGACAGCATGGGCGACGCCTCAGAAGGAAGCCAACCCTCCCCAGTGGACATATACAACCGGTACGACAGACACAACCTGCACAATTCAAGCAATATTTATCAAAATAAATTAAAAATAAATCAGAACAAGGGGCAGCCGAAGGGGCAGGAGAAGTACAAAGACATGTACGTCCACATGTCATATGACAAAAACTACATCTACGACGAACATAAAAATAATATTTACGCAGAGGACAGTATCTATAATTATGTCTCGAAAAAAAATCCCGCGTTAATGCCACAAAAAAAGGGAGGCGTAAAGAAGACCTACGCAAATTTATGTTTAAATTACTACAACAATCTGGACACCTGTCTGATTAAGAAGTATCAGAAAAATGTCCAAAACAGGAAATATAAATTTACACGCCTGCACACGTGCAAGCCGCACTACGTAAGGGGATAACCTGAAAAGGGGAAAAACATCCCGCGCGTATTAGCTATTAACGCGATTAGCACGATTAACACGATTAAC